TGCACTGCTGCCTTTTGGCAGTGAAGCTGGCTGCATGCCCCTTTGTCTGGGGCATTTGGGGGGCCCCCCAAATGGCCCCCAAGACCCACCGCTTTGAGGCCCTTTATCTTATCTTCTCGAGTGCAGACAGAGCAAGTGAGGCTGGCGCAGCTTGCGCAGCAGCTGTACGTACACCTGAACCCCACACCCCAGCCCCTCCACCCCACGCTGCCGAGGCCCGCTTCTGCTGCTGCTGCTGCTGCTGCTGCTGCGCTGCTTCCGCAGCTGTTTACCTGGCGAGCTGCTGCGTCTTCTTGACCCCCTTGGTGTTCCTGTCCTTCGTGGCCTGCTCCTACCTCTACTCCGAGGGGCCCCTGTGGGGCCCCGGGCCCTCCACACCCCACAAGGGGGCCTGGGGCACCGGCGCCTTGAGGGGCCCCTCAGCAAACCGAGTTATGATCCTCGTAGACCTTACTCTCGTTCTGACTGTAGACCTCCTCGACTTGGCTGCTGCCTTTTCTTCTGCTTTAGGTGGGTCCTCCTGGCGTTTCCCAGGCTCCCCTGCACGCTGGGGCCCCTCTGGGAGCCCCCGGGGGCCCCCCATGGGGTACCCGTGGGGGGCCCCCCTAGGGGCCCCTGGAGGCCTTCAGAGGGTCTAGGGAGGCCGTGAGCCCTTGGAGGTCTGAAGCCCTTCTAAGAAAAGCCGTGGCCTACTTGAGCAACGCCTTCTTGAGGTGTAGCCACTTATAGCTAGCCACACAGCTAGTTGGCCACTCAGGGCCCCTGCGGCTGCTTCATAGCCAGTTAGCCAGCTAGCTAGGTAGCCAGCTAGCAACCCAGCTGGCTAGCTAGCTCGCCAAGTAGCGACCTAGCTAGCTAGCCAGCTAGCCAGCTGGATAACTAGCCAGCTAGCCAGCTAGCTAGCTAGCTGGGGCTGCAGGGGGCGCTTTCAGGGGCTCTTGTTGCTTACCTGTGCAGTCTGTGGGTGGCTGTGCCTGGGCTTTGCAGCTTTACACCAAGACCTGCGTGGGCGCTACAGCTCTTCCCAGGGGCCCCTCTTGATGTTCTCCACTTGCATGCTGATGCTGCTGCCTGCTGCTTTGCTGCTTCTGGGCTTTGCTTTTCCCGCGGACCTGCGGGCGAGGGGCCCCCGCGTGGGCCCCCGCGAGGGCCCCGGGGACCCCGCGGGAGCACCTTTGGGGGACCCCCTGGGGGCCCCCCTGGAGGCCCCCCCCGAAGGCAGCGACCCCAACTGGCTGCGCAGCAGCAACTCCTCTGTGGGGTCCGATGTGTTTCTAACTGCCAAGCATGCCTTTTTGGTGGGGTTGTTTTTAATAGACCTTCCTGGGCTGGCCTTCAGGCTGGCTGTGCTGCTGCAGGGGGGCCCCCAAGAAAGGGCCCCCCTGTGCCCTTTGCTGCTGAAGAACTTCGTATGGCTGGCCCTGAGGCCCCTCCGCATGCACCAGTGTGTCTTAGCCGAAAAAGAAGATGCCAGGTGGCTCCAAAGAGAAGTTTTGACTTTTGCTGCTGACGCTGCGCCTCCCCTTGCTGCTGCCTCTCGTTCTGCTGCTGCTGCGGGCACTCCGCCGGGGCCCGTGGACCCTCCTGTTGTTGTCGACGCTGCGCGTGCTGCTGCTCCCGCAGCAGCAGCTGCTGCTGCTGCTGCTGCGGGGGCTTCTTCCGCAAAAGGCACCCGCGCTGCAGCAGGCGCACCCGGACGGAGGAAGCACGGCAGCTCAGCAGCAGCAAATCTGCAAAGACGTGGGCAGCAGCGGGAAGACAGCTTGACTGGCGCAGCAGCAGGAGCGCGGGAAGTTGCTGCTGCTACTGCTGCTGCTGTCAACGAGCGGCAGCAGGCCTTCCTGTTGCGCCTCCTTGGGCTTCCTCTTACTGCTAGTCCCGCAAGTCTGGAGATTTCTTTGAGTTCAACTTCTGCAGAAGCAGCAGATGCCCCCACCCTAGGGTCTACTTCCCTGTTTGCTGCAGAAAACCCTTACGCAGCAGCAGCAGCAGCTGCTGCTGCTGCTGTTGCTG